TATTTCTAATTCTTGTCCAGAGACATTCCTGTTGACCAGTTGTGGTTTTTACCCTTTACTAATCCTTGCTTAGTAATTGTACCTTTTGTTTGACTTTGGTTTTATTTAAGAGTTTGAAAACTCAGTGATCCTAAAAGAACCTGATATTCAGGATTTGAAAGGCTGAATAAATCTTCTGAGTCTGTTTGAATTCAACTTTAATTGTGATTAAATTTAATTGTGTTTAAATTGTGCTCTGCGTTTGTAAACGAACTGAATTATAACCTTTCACAATTAAAAAAACAATTATCTTGACAAGCTTATGTATTGAATTATTCAAACTGAATTTGCTTCTTTTAACAAGCAAGGATGACTTGAAAAGCTGCCCGACAACGAGTAATCGATATCGGCATAAAACTTAAAACTAAATCAAACAATGAAACTGGCCTGCTCAATAATCCTCCGCTGTAATAGCAGAACCGTTCTGTACCGTTATACATACACTTCACTATGTACGCCATCTATTTTACAATATGTAATAAGAATTTCATTTACATTGGCGAATTTATTATTCTTTGTTCGCAAAAAAATTATTTAATTACAAGAAATTGGAAACAATTTTAAATATGCTTTACAAAATGCTATTTCGAGTTTTTATCGACTAATTTTCTTTCCAAAACTTCATGATCAGTACCAAATGCATAATTATGAGGTAATAGTAAATCTTTAAATGAAGTCCATAAATTTTCTTTAACCAAAGCATTGAATAAAGATGCATTAGTGAAAAGTTTAACTAGCGAATGTTGGAAGGGCAAATACAATAGTGATGAAAATACTGAACAATGTCGATAGGGACGAAGTCGTCAACATGAACATTCCTCCCAATGTAAATCCCATCTCTTTGTGATTGAGAAATAACGAAATCTGTAATAGAAAAATAGTTTCTGGTTAATTTGAAGCAGAATTGGATGAAATCATTATTGCAAAGACCAACCTCATTGAGAGTCCGAATCGAGTTTGTTTTTAGAGATAGTTTATACACAGTGGCTAGTGATTCAAGAGATTGATCATGAATTTTAATGGACGAATAAGTGGATAACAAAGCGCCTACTAATGAAAAACTATTCTGAATGAGATTATAACATTTACTCATATAACTCTGTTCAGTGTAAAGTAAAGTATAAGATAAATTGCAAGTATTTATTATAAAATTAGTGAACAGAAAAAACAGAGCAGGACTCATGACTTCGTTTATTTGGTCCACTAAACGACAGCTCAAGAGATATTTATGTCGAATGTTCTTGATAGCATTAAGATTCAACGATTTTTCATCTTTGGTTGTTTCGTTCAACAGCTTCTTCAATTTAATCAAATTAAATTGAACTGCTGTTTGTGCTAAGATCGGCAAATCTACTTCAATGTAGATCTGACAAAAGTGTTTGAAGTAAGCTACTGGAGCACAAATGAACAATAAAAAGTAAAATATAATACTTCGTTTAAAAGCGACTTCACTTGACAGTTTGCTTCTGTCTTTAACACTCCAAGTATAAAGCTCGTAACAATATCTAATGATGAATGAAAATATGTAGTAGGCACGAATGAACCAACGGTAGAGAGTCGTTCGAGTCCAGAAATATTTTCTCGTTTCATAATCGAAATCGATTTGCAATCCTTTCAAGTGCTCATCGATTTGTTTAATAAGCTTATGATTATACCTGAAATAAAATGTTATGAACATCCAATTTCCAATCAAAAAGAATAAGAAACTTTTGATTTTTAGTGTAAAAACTGAATCCAAAGAGCTATACATTATAGCACGACCATGAACCAAGTTCAATATAAACATGATTAATACAAAAAGACACTTTCCAAACATATTACTTGTTGATGAAATGATCAACTGAAATTTGGAAGGAATCGAGTCAATGGTTATTGTCGGATAATGTTTCAACTGTTCATTTCGCACAAAACACTGTTGCATGTTTATCGAAGCCATTTTCAAGAAAAAGAAGTGGATTGCTGATGAAAATACAAGAGTTAAATGAGTTATTCAAATCTTAATAATACAAGGAATCAGTCTCAGTTTAGACAACAATAGAGTCTTGTTTTGTTTCAGTCCGGTGAAAATCATGTTGGTAATTTTTGAATCGTTATAACTATGAATATTTCATATTACAACGATTCTGCTTGATATATTTATGATTGGAAAACGATTAACTAGGAAAATAAGCTTGTGCATTAAATAATGCAAACTGGATTTGTTTTTCAGCAAATAATTTATGCCTTAAAAAGCTGCCCAACAACAAGTAATCGATACCAGAGTAAAGGTGATGGAAGGGCGAAGATGATCAAGACACTGAACAGTGTCGATAGGGACGCAGTATTTAACTTGAACATTCCTCCAAATGTAAATCCAATTTATTCGTGATTGAGAAAGAACAAAATCTGAAAGAGAACCGAGAAAACTGTACTCAACTTGAATCAAGATTCAATCAAAATAATGAGTGACCTCATTAAGAAGTTTTAATGAGTTTGTTGTCAGGGATAATTTGTACATATTGGCTAGAGTTTCTTGAGATTTATCATGAATTGCAATAGTTACATGTGTAAATGCAAGTGCAGTACAAGTTGTTCTTGTGATGACAATGATAAATACATAAGCAAAAAAAACACTTTCCTGTGATCGGGATTGTCTTTTATTCCTCTAGCATAATCCAACAAAGTTTCGCAAGCCTTTTCTACCTCTTCTTGGCCAGTCAAGAATACCAGAACATCTCCAAGACTAAGAGTTTCGTGAATTTTGATAACAGCATCAACAGAAGCTTTGAGGTGATCAGCTACTGGTTCGTTAGAATAAAATATTTCTACTGGAAAAGTTCTCCCTTTTATTGAAATATTGGTTGTTTTGAGGCCATCTTAAGTGAAATAATTTTCCATTGTCTCAAGTCCACTGTCGTGGGTGTAACAATTAGACGAAATAGCCCAATAGCTTTGCAATACTTCTTACAAACTTATCTCATCACACTCTTGAGGGGCATTTCTTTTGTTTCAGAGGCATTCCTCAAAGATTCAGCCGCATCTTGGGCCCAAAACACGAAACAGTTAAAATAAAGTTGTTTTGATCCATCTTTTTAATCTATTCAGATAATTTTTGGACTTACACTGGCTAGTCGTCCAAGCGCAATCCTGGCTTCATCTTCAGCTGCCTTCACTCCCTCGTCAGCTTCTCGCTCTTCCTTTAATTATCTAGCGAATGTTGGTAGAGCAAAGACAATAGTGACTATAATACTGAACAATGTCGATAGTGACGAAGTGGTTAACATAAACATGCCTCCGAATGTAAATCCAATTTCATTGTGATTCAGAAATAGAGAAATCTAAAAGAGAAACAAAAATGATTTGCTGTCAATTTAAAAACAAACTTTGATAATAAATATAAGTTGAAACACCAACCTCATTGAGAAGCCTAATTGAGTTTGTTTTCAGGGATAATTTATACACAGTAGCTAGCGATTCAAGAGATTTTTCATGAATTTTTAAAGACAAGTGTGTATATAACAGTACAAGTGTTAATGAACAGCTTAACTGAAAGTTTGTAATTAATTTGCCCGCTTCATCTTCTTTAGTGTAAAGTAAATTATAAAATAAATGGCCTGCATTTACTGCAAAATTAGTAAAAATGAAAAACAAACAGGGACTCATGATGTCGTTCATTTTGTCAATTAAGCGACAGCTCAAGAGATATTTGTTTCTAGCGTTTTCAATAACATTAATATTTAACGATTTCTCGTCTTTTCTTGTTTCGTTCAAAAGTTTCTGCAATTTTATGAGATTAAATTGAACTGCTGTTTGTGCTAACAGAATTAAATCTACGTAAATACAGCAATGACAAAAACGCTTATACTGATATAACGGAAAACAAACCAACAAGCAAAAGTAATATATAATATGTTGAACAAGTTTGATTCTTTGTTGAGTATTATACAGGGAAATCGGATAAAAACAAGTTATAATGAGATAAAATATGGACACGACATTTATCAATCGACGGCATTTAGCTTTATGTGTCCAGAAATATTTTCTCGTTTCATAATCAAAGTCAATTTGCAAGCCATTCCAATCATCATCAATTGTTTTCATGAGCTTATGATTATACTTGAAATAAAATACCATGTCTATTCCATTGCCATACAAAAGCCTAATGAAAGATTCAAATGTAAATGAAAAAATTGCATCCAAAGAAAAGTACAGTAATTCACGGAAATAATACAAGTTAAATAAAAACATGATTAATACAAATAGACACTTTCCGTAGATATGACTTGTTGATGAAATCATTAATTGAAATTTTGATTGAATCGAGTCGATGGATACTTTTGGATAATGTTTTAACTCTTCATTTCGCACAAAACACTGCTGCATATTGATGGAAGTCATTTTCATGAGCCAAAAGTGATACTGCTATAAACACGAAGTTAAATGAGTATCTTATTGATACAATGAACCAGTCTCAGTTTAACAGTTAGACAACAATAGAGTCTAGTTTTAATTCAGTTTTTTGTTGTTAGCAATGTTTCAATCGTTACAATAAAAATTAATTAAATATGTCTGATATTTCGATGAATATTTCTTGCTTATTATAATTATGATTAAAAAACGATGAACTATTTATACAAACTGGTACATTGAATAATTAAAAAAACAATTATCATGACAAGCTTATGTATTGAATAGTTTAAACTGAATATGCTTCTTTTATTAATAATAAACAAATGATGACTTGAAAAGCTGAATGACAACGAGTAATCGATATCGGCGTAAAACTTGAAACTAAATCAAACAATTAAACTGACCTCCTCAATAATCTGTAATAGCAAAACCGTTCTGTCCCATTATATAATACATACACTTCACTATGTACGACATCTTATTTACAATATGTAATAAGAATTGCATTTATATTGGCGAATTTATTATTCTTTGTTCGCAAAAAAAAAATATTTAATTACAAGAAATTGGAAACAATTGTAAATATGCTTTACAAAATGCTATTTCGAGTTTTTATTGACTAATTTTCTTTCCAACACTTCACGATCAGTACCAAATTCATAATAATGAGGAGCCAATTCATATAACCATCGATGGTCAATAACTGTACAATCTCTCATGTACTCTTTTGTAGTATGAAGGACTTCGATGAAGATTACCCATTGCGGAGGTCGAGGTCGAGTATAAAGAACTGAAGTCGGGTGTATGTATAATTCATGGTCACCTTTGACAATTTTGTAAACTCCAGGCTGATGAATAAAGCATGGAAATTCATGAATGACAGACAATTTTCTGTAATCGAGATTGTCTTTTATTCCTGAAACAAGATTGATTGTGTATGATGAACCAGATGTATTTGTGAATAGCCCATTTACAAGATGTTTCATCTAGTGAATGTTGGTTGAGCGAAGACAATAGTGACCAGCATACTGAACAATGTCGACAGGGACGAAGTTGTTAACATGAACATTCCTCCGAATGAGAACCCGATTTCTTTGTCATTGAGAAATAACGAAATCTGCAAGAGAAACAGAAACTGATTTGTTATTAACTTGGAACAGAGTTGCATTAAATGATGAATGTAAAGACCAACCTCATTGAGAAGCCGAATCGAGTTTGTTTTGAGTGATAATTTATACACAATGGCTAGCAATTCATGAGATTTTTCGGGAATTTTAACAGAAGAATATGTGCGTACCAAAAGAATCATCAATACAAAGCTATTTTGAATGAAGCTATGCAATTTAGTCAATTGATTTTGTTCAGTGCGGAGTAAAGCATAAGATAAACTACAAGCAAAAATTAAAAAATTCATAAACGTCAATAACAGCAAAGGACTCATGATTTCGTTTATTTTGTCAACTAAACGACAACTTAAGAGATATTTGTGTCTAATGTTTGCAATAGCTTCAATATTTAACGATTTTTCATCTTTTGTTGCTTCGTTGAACAGTTTCTTCAATTCAATCAAGTTAAATTGAACTGCTGTTTGTGCTAAGATCGTTAAATCCATTTGAATGCAAGTCTGGTAAAGAGTAAAAAAATAAGTTGTCGGAGCAAAAATCACCCATAAGAAGAAAAATATAATATTTTGTTTAAAAACGACTTCGCTCGAAAGTTTGCTTCTATCTATTTCATTCCAAGTATAAAGATGATAAGAATACATAAAAATAATTGAAAGTATGAACCAAACGTATGAAATACAATGACGATCATATTCCCTACAGAAAAGTGAAGTAAAGACTTGAGCTGAATTGAGAAAATTGAATCCAAAGAAATATTCATAAAAAGAATATTAATTGTCAATTGTGAGTTCAATATAAACATGATTAATACAAAGAGACACTTTCCAAACATGTTACTTGTCGATGAAATTATCAATAGAAATTTGTTAGGAATCGAGTCAATGGAAACTTTTGGATAATGTTTTAACTCTCCATTTCGCACAAAACTCTGCTGCATGTTGATTGAAGGCATTTTCATGAAACAGAAGTCAAATTCAGATGGAAATACAGAAGTTTAATGAGTTATTCAAATCTTGTTAATACAAGGAATCAGTCTCAGTTTAGACAAGAATGGAGTCTAGTTTTAAACCAGTGCATTACTAATCATGTTAGTAATGTTTAAATCGTTACATCAAAATGAATTAAAAATGAATAGATTTTATTTCAAAGCATTTTTTATGATTTTGAGTAAAAAACGATTCATTTAAACTTGTACTTTGAATAATAAAGATTAAAAAAACAATTAACATGACAAGCTTGTCTATTGAATAATTAAAATTGAATCTTTTTCTTTTGTAATAAGCAAATATAACTGAAAAGCTGCCCAATAAAAAGTGATCGACACCCGAGTAAAATGGTACAATAAATCACAGGGTACGTACATTTCCCAATAATCTGGATTCCGAGAACGCGAATGAATGAAGTTGAACAGCATTGAATAATGATAGCAATTGGTTAGACCAGGAACGCACTTTGATTTGAAAATAGAATAGCTTGGCTTCGCAGAAATCATTTTTAATATTATTGCTTGCACTATTATAAATTAGTTTGTGCGAATCGAAGATTAAGCTCTTCAAAAATAATTTTCTTCATTTACGGTTGCGGTTAAAATACTTCAAACTTCCGCAAGAAGGTGGAATGAAAATGTTAAATACCGGGTAATCATTTTTTAATTAATATAGTTATCGTTTGAGATTATACAAAATAATTTTTGTGATAGACTGAAATTTCAGTGAGCTACGAAATTTCTAGTTGAAAATTTTTGTAATCAAAGTTACCTAACTTTGTTTGGACCAACCTAATAAATAAAAATGGATTGAATATGATCGAATAGAGATGCATTTGTGAATAAGTAAAAGATGTGGATGTTTTCATCTATTGAATGCTGGTAGCGCAAAGACAATGGTGAACAAGATACTTAACAATGTCGCAGGGACGAAGTTGTTAACATGAACATTCCTCCGAATGAGAACCCGATTTCTTTGTCATTGAGAAATAACGAAATCTGAAAGAGAAAAATAGTTTGTGATTAACTTTGAACTGAATTAGATCATGAATGCTCAGACCAACCTCATTGAGAAGCCGAATTGAGTTTGTTTTCAGCGATAATTTATACACAAAGGCAAGTGATTCTTGAGATTTGTTATGAATTTTTACAATCAAGTGTGTATAAAATATTACTTTCGTTAATAATGAGCCAATCTGAAAGTTTCCAAGCAATTTAGCCAATCTATTTTGTTCAGTGTAAAGTAATGAATAAGATAATTCACAAGCATTTACTACAAAACCAGTGAAAAGCAAAAACAGCAAAGGACTCATGATTTCGTTGATTTTTTCAACTAAATGACAACTCAAGAGATATTTATGTCTAATGTTTGCAATAGCTTCAATGTTTAACGATTTTCCATCTTTTCTTGATTCGTTCAACAGTTTCTTCAATTTAATTTGATTAAATTGAACTGCTGTTTGTGCTAAATTCATTAATTCTAAGTAAATACAATGACGACAAAAACGATTGAAAAGATATAACTGAGAACAAACTATCAAGTAAAAGTAAATTACAATATTGTGTACAAGTTTGATTTTGTGTTGACCATTATACTGGAAAATCGGATAAAAACAAGAAATAATGAAAAAAAGTGTGAACAAAACATATAATAACCGACGGTGAATAGCTCTATGAGTCCAGAAATATTTCCTCGTCTCATAATCGTAATCGATTTGCAAGCTATTCCAATGATCATTAATTTGTCTAACGAGGTTATGATTATACCTGAAATAAAATACCATGTAGAGGCAATTTCCATACAAAAGTCGAATAAAAGCTGATAGTTTAAATGAAAAAACTGAATCCAAAAACAGTAATTCACGACAATAAAACAAGTTCACTACTAACATGATTACCAAAAAAAGACACTTTCCGTAGATATTACTTGTTGATGAAATCATTAATTGAAATTTTGATTGAATCGAGTCGATGGATACTTTTGGATAATGTTTTAACTCTTCATTTCGCACAAAACACTGTTGCATGTTGATGGAAGTCATTTTCATGAAACAAAGTGAAGTGTTTATGGAAATACAGAAGTTAAATGAGTTATTCAAATCTTAGTATTAATACAAGGAATCAGCCTCACTTTAGACAATAGAATCTATGTAATAGTTTTAAATCATTTCATAACTAATCATGTTAGTAATGTTTAAATCGTTACAATAAAGTTAATTGAAAATGAATAGATTTTATTTCAATGCATTCTTTATGATTGTGATTAAAAAACGATTCATATAAACTTTTACTTTGAATAATTAAGATTAAAAAAACAATTAACATGACAAGCTTGTGTCCATTATTGATATTTAGGCACTCAAAAGTGAGGATATTGCAGTGAGTATGCACCAATGTTTCGTGCGAAACAGAGTTGAAACATTATCCAAAAGTATCTATCGATTCGATGGCATCCAGATGCCAATTGTTCATTTCATCAATAAACAATATCTACGGAAAGTGTCTATTTGTATTAATCATGTTTGTAATGAACTTTGTGAATTGTCGCGATCTAATGGATGCTTCTTTGGATTCAGTTTTTCGGTTAGACTCCGAGGTTTAACTTTTTTCTCAATGGAAATGTGTTGAACATTTTATTTTATCATTTTATTTTAATACTTTAGGTATAATCATAAGCTTGTGAAACAAATTGATAGTATAAGAATTTATTAAATTACAATAAATAATTGGAAACATTTTAAATATACTTAAAATACTATTTCGAGTTTTTATCGACTAATTTTCTTTCTAAGACTTCACGATCAGTACCAAACTCATAATAATGAGGAGCCAATTCATATAACCATCGATGGTCAATAACTGTACAATCTCTCATGTACTCTTTTGTAGTATGAAGGACTTCGATGAAGATTACCCATTGCGGAGGTCGAGGTCGAGTATAAAGAACTGAAGTCGGGTGTATAAACAGTTCATGGTCACC